GTAATGTTTGTTTTATGAACCTAAGTGCTCCCGTGTTGAGTGTGTATACATTTAGAATTGATATATCCTCCTGGTGGATTGATACCTTTTTCATTATATGATGACTTTATTTGTCTTTTTTATACATATATGGCACACTTTCTGAAGAAAGGACAAAACTACAACTCAGGTTTTACCTTACAAATGGAAACAGTGTAACCTAATTGTTTGTACCCTTGTATCAATCTGAAATTTTAAAAAATAAATAAAAAATTTCAGTCAAAGAAATTAGATTAGCTCGAATAATTTTTTAAAAAAGAATAAAGTTGGGGACATCACACTACTAAACTTTAAAGTTTATTATAAAGCTGCAGTAATCAAGATAAGGCTTTATAGGCGAAGAAGTAAATACCTAGACCATACCTAGACCCATGGAACAGAAAAAATAGTTCAGAGTAGGCCTACAAAATGTAGCCAATTGATCACTGACAAAGAAGCATATGCAATTCAATGGAGAAAGAATGGTCTTTTCAACAATGTTTATTATGAGATCAAATGGATGTCTCTTTTTCTGTCTCAGAGAGAACCTCAATCTAAAGCTTACGCCTTATATGAACATTATTTTAAAACAAATCATCTCTCCAAATGCAAAACTATGAAACTTTTGGGAAAATATGTAGGAATAAATGTGCAGGACCTCCTTCTAGAAGAGTTACTCAAAATAACACTAAAAGCATGATGCATTTTTAAAAGTTGATAAATTGGACTTTACCGAATTTTTAAGGTTTTATGTGTAAAAGAGCTGTTGAAAGGATGACAAGGTGCTAGAGGTTAGGAGAAAATATTTGTAAATTCCATACCCAACAAAGGACCTGTATTCAGAACATGTATAGAACTCTCAAAACCCCACCACAAGTAAACAATCCAATTAAAAAAGGAGAAAAGACTTGAACAGATACTACCAGGATTCCATAAAAGTCGTTATTTCCTTTACTGTAGCATGCAATGAACTCAGCTTTGTTTTATCAATAGGTTATTTGGGAGGTATCTGGGAAGAGCGGAGGAGCCTTTATCTTATTTCCTAAATTTTAACTCCTCAAACAATTTTATCTAATGCTAATTTGTTTAAAGTTGAATTATTTCCAGATCATTAAATTATTTTATGGTTATAAAAATGATTCTTGGCCAGGTAGGGTAGCTC